CCAAAACGGTATTTTTGCCTGTGTTCTAGAGTCTTGGGTATGATTAAACTACCATTTATTCTCCTTTCCAGAAACTATCTACCTGGTATCGGTAAACAGATGGTATTCTGCTTGAAAAAGTTTGGCATAACTACGTAAAAACGTCTTTATAAGCGAAATCTTTGCATGACTTCTGCTAGTAGACGAGTGTTTCTGGTGGCAGTAAAAGTGTGCCAGGTGTTTTTCTTTGCTGAAAATGGCCTTCCGGTTTAATTTTTCCTTTGGAGAAGATGCTGCAGAGGCTGATGATGAGCCAGAGCTGCAGCTGGGCACTCCCCAGCGCGAGCGAGCGGCTGAGGCTGCCGCTCAGTGCCGGGATGCGACCCCGTCGGAGCAGCCCCTCCGCCTCAAGGCTGCCAAAGAGCACCACGTTCCCAAAGATGCCAACCAAATACTGGAAAATAAAACCATGGAAATGGTAGCGGGACTGTATTCTGTAAAGATATCCACAGTGGAAAAGCAGCTTTTGGATGGCTTGCATGGAGAAGACCTGGTGTCCAAAAGCGTTTTGGCTCACTCTGACCTCGTCCCAGGTGTGTACGAGGGAGGGCTCAAGGTCTGGGAGTGCACCTTTGATCTCCTGGGTTACTGCTCCGAGACTGAAATGCAGTTTGCTGACAAGACTGTGTTGGACCTCGGTTGCGGTGCCGGACTGCTAGGAATAGTTGCCTTGAGGGGAAAAGCTAAAGAAGTCCATTTCCAGGACTACAACAGCACTGTGATTGAGGAAGTAACCTTGCCTAACACTGTGGCTAACTGTAGAGTTGATGGAGATGAAGGAAAAATTAGTAAGCCTCCTTCAAAGAGACTTAAGAAAGCAAAATGCTCCCTTGATCTGCTTGCCAAATGCAGATTTTTTTCTGGAGAATGGTCCAAAGTCAGCCAGCTCCTGTTAAGTGGCAGCAAACCCTTTTCAAAGTATGATCTCATTCTCACATCTGAGACCATCTATAACCCTGATTACTATGGTGCTTTACATGATGCACTGTCTCAGCTGTTGGCCGAACATGGACGTGTGTATTTGGCAAGCAAAGCCCATTACTTTGGGGTTGGGGGTGGTGTCCCCCTCTTTGAGAAATTCATTGAGGAGAGGAATGTGTTCAGGACTAACACAGTTAAAATAATCGATAAAGGACTGAAGCGCTTTATCATTGAAATGGCCTTTAAATATTCCAGTTAAATTCAGCCACTGGTTCTCAAAAAAAGATTTTTTTTTCTAAGACATGTTTTAATCCTCTTCTCTTTGCCTTTCCTCTGTTGAGGTTCTTCTGAATAGAGAAGTTAACGCTCTCTACTAGAGATTGAACTGTTTGATAAATTCTGATGTCTATCTTCAAGTGAAGGATTGTTCTCATTCTGGTTTTTCAAAGAGAAATACTGCTTATTTATGCAAATTTGAATTGTCATTTGTGTATATAATTGAAAGTGAAGTGATTCAAGGCCCCCAATCCTCCTTTCCCTTTTTTTTTTTTTTTTTTGGCAGTGCCAAAAATTTAAGTCAAAAGTGGCTGCTGAGTGCAGCTTGCAAGAGGTGATTTAGCATCCCAGTAGAACACAGAAAGTGGTTTTCAAGGTTCATGCTCACCAATGCTTGGTATGACTCAAATGCAGTACCAAACTTTAGCATCAGTTGTTCTATTCTCTGCTATTCTGCCACCAGAGGGGGGTGTGATTGTATTTATCATGTAGCCCAGGGTGGTAACTCCACAAATAAATAGCATTTTCCATATGTGATGCATATGACTTATTCAAGCTTTGAAGGGGGAGTACTTGAGTACCCCCACAAGCACCTCAAGTACTTGAGGCTATTTAATGCTGTTGGCATTTTTTGTATTTGCATAATCACTGTAATGATACCTCAGTAAGTTCCTGGCAGTGGGGAAGCCTTACTGCTTTCAGAAACCAGTAAAACAGGCTTCTTTGTTTTAGTTACAGAGCTGATAAGATCCCAAACAAGAGAAGTTCTTTAAAGCAAACAAGAAAAATTCCACAAAACACAATGCAGAAAATGGAAGTGTGGCAACAGGGAAAGGAGATAAATTCAACTATTATAACAGAGACCTAGAGTAGTGTAGTTTTTTGACAAAACTTTTTTCCATATAGTCACTGCCTCTATGCAAACACACATTTTAAAAACCTGTGGTTTTTTGCAATATTATAACTTCAGATAAGGGGGTACTATTGAATGCCACCATAGTTCTTCAGTCTTTTATGCAGTCCAACAAGCTTTCAGAAAAGTCTGTGCAAATCATTCTTTTCTGTTCCATGCTGCAGATCATGATAGTGAGCTAAGACTGTAGGTTACTGCAGAAATTATCACATTAAAAAAAATGCAAGCAGAATCAAAAACTAAACAACCTGGTTGTGAGTGCTTGGTATCACAGTTCATAAGAAATCCACTTGCATATTTTGTGTCAACTCAAAAATGGTCAAAAAGCTACTTAACAAGTCTGCCGAGTACATCAAAGTTACCACTTAACCAGCTCACAAAGCTGTAGTGCAGCACTAATGCACTTGTGTATCTGTGCAGTAACTTATACTTAGTATACTGACTCTGAGTAGTCAACCATGGCAGTAAATCTGGATGTAAGAACATCAATGGCAGAAATGACAATAGTTCAAGAAGGTGGAAAGAAGCTTATTACAACTGCAACCTAAATCACTGTCACTATTGCATAAATTCCTGTCATTCTTGTCCATGGAACTCAACAGTAAGTCCAACAGGATTTCCTGTACTTTACAGGAGAGCTTAACAACTAAGGTTATTTCAAAAACAAGTCTCTGTAGGCTATTTTAAATAGATGTTTCAGAAAGTACTGAAGTTGCTTTTGTCTTTTTTTAATAAGGGAGAGGGAAAAGCCAGTCAGCCTGGCTCTGGTTATGCTCTGGAACTCATTTGCATCAACCCTGAAACACAGTGATGACTATCACCTTATAGGATGCTGACGTTCATTGACTTCAGGCTGGAGAAAAGATTTTAGCTTTAACATCTTTGAAGCACAGATCTTTGATTTGTTTGTTTTTAAAACTAGGAACTTGGAAGCAAAGCAGCTATCATTTGCTGTTTTCAAACACTCTGGAGAAAAATCACTGCTTGCCTGCTAAGCCTAGTGCTGTTTCAGAGAATTATACCTGAAGTAAGAAGAAATGCTGACTACTATGATGATAGCAAATATAGTAAAGAACAAGAACAACATGTATTCCTTGAGAATTATAGAAAAGGCACTTACAAGCTTCTATTATACTTCATCTTAACAGTATTCCACTATCAAACTCACTCATTCTCTTGAGTTTACTGTGCCCATTCTTTTGCTTAGCATCCTCATTCTATTTGTGGTTACTTGAAATTTGCATACAGAATCAGATTTCAGGTGAAAACTGCCAGAGCCAAAATCACACAGTGATCACACAACACCTGGAAAATATGAAAAACCAATACAGTACAATTATTTAGAAAGATAATCAAGGTAGGATGTTTTTGTCATGTGAAAGCAGCAAGACTAGCACTGGGATTTCCATAAGTCCAGTTGAGTTTTAAACCATTTTTAGAAGTCAGTGGATATACAGAGGAAGCATCATTCCATGCTTGATTTTAAAGGCTGGTGTTTTATGTTTAAAGATAAGTTCTGCTCTCCCTTTTCTACAACCCCCATTAAGAGTTTTTCTGTTTGCCAAATCATCCAACCCTAGTGACTAGCTTCCTGCTTCTTTTCAGGAAGCATAATAATGTGGAATAAAAAAAAAACACCACTTATCTGCTTGTAATACTTACAAACCTTAATTGCTTGTTCAATTATAACTTCTCCTGAATGACATCACACTAGCAAAACCAGGATTGAGAGGCGCCTCAAAGTCTTTTTCATGACATGAAAATCCGTTACATGAGGCCCAATGCCTTATATGAGGAAACAAAGAAGTCAGCTGACAATTTATGTGCTAATTTCTAACTTATCTCCCCTTTTCTCCCACTCCTCCCGCCCCATACTTTTTGAAAGTGTCATTACAACCCCAAATCCGGTCCGAACTATATCTTTCCCGTAAGTACTGTGGAGGGAAACATTAAAGTATGTCATCAAAGTAAGTCTCAGGAAACTAAATTAAGAGGCTTGTTTATTTTAACAGGCGCTATCCTTAACTGATGACTTTCTTTCAAAGACTATTGCCGCTTATGGGAAATGCCATAAAAAATCAGTTCTGTATACTGGCACCAGCTAAACAGCATCTGTTAGAGTTATTTTACTAAAGCATAGGGGAAAAACATCCACAAGGAAATTAGAAAGATGGAGTCCCAAAGAAAGTACACAATTTGCAAATTATTAACTTGCCTGTTATTCTTAATTACTTGGTACAGTGGCATATAATCGTACTCTGACATTAAAATCTTAGCGGGGAAAAAAAATAAAACAACAATGTTACCATGGCATCAGGGATTCAAAAAAAAAACAAAGGTGACACAGAATGCTCAGTGTAGTAAGACAGTAATGCAATATTTTTATGATGGAAAATGGACTAAAGCCACTCAAATTTCATACTCTTTGTACTTTTAGTCACATGAATGCTGAAAAGAAAAAAGCTAGGAGACACTGAAAATGCTTCAAAGGGAATAACTGGGATTTACACACAAATACGTCTTAAAGACTGCAAGTCAATATATGTAAGAAATGGAACTGTAAGATACTGCCTTGAAATACATAACAGCTTTCAGGAAAAGATTGTCTTGAAATAAGAAAATGAAAATTGTAGCAAGCAAGCAACTTCTCTGCAAATGAAGGGCAATATTCTGCTACAACAGGAGGAAGCAGGTGCAATAATGTAATTCAGACACTGCCTGGGGAAGATCAGTGTGGCCCTGGAGGAAAGGAAAAAGCATAATGAACTTACTCATGTGGAATGAAAGAAGTCCAGAGGAATCAAATGAAATAGATATTGTCAGAATTCAACATCATCACCTGCCGGTCTGTTTTACTGATGCTGTTCTGTAAAAAATTTGAAAGTTCACTGTGAAACTAGGCATGATCATTATTTCTATCTGGAACACAAATACTGACTTTTTAAAACTACGGAGTAAGTGGAAGATTTAGATGATGAACCAAGTCAAACCTTGCTTTTTTTGTAAATATGGATGAGAAAAATTAAAAGAGTGAACAGCAATAGAAAAAAATACTGTGGTCAAAAAAAAAAGGAAACAGTCTTATGGCATCTAAATTGATGACAAAATATTGCAGGGTACATGTCAGGATCAGATGAAAGTAGAAGGAAGATGATGGCATCTTTACTTAGAAAGCGTGTCAAAAAGAAGCAGGAAAAAGGCTTACAGCTTTTTTTTTTTTTTTTTTTCCCAAAGGAATGATCTGAAAAAATGGGAGATATCTGGCAATCAGTAGCAGTAATGTAAATTGCAGGGTCCAGTTAATCCAGATTTATGAGAACAAACACACAGAAGACTTGCATTTCTTTTTATTTATAGAAGCACAACTCACAGAAAAAAAAGTTAAATTTTGAACTGCTCATCAAAGTTCAGATTTCGTAAGTCAATTTATTTCTTGTCATCTGACCATGTAATTTCATAATCTGTATACACTTTTTTCAGTATTTCTACAGTCACTGAGTGATCTGCTTTGCCATAGCCCTGTAAGAAAGAACAAGCATTTAATAGGTGAGCACAAAAAGTAAATACACAGGGCTATCAAGTTCTTATCACACTGTAACCAGATAGTTTGCATTGATACTGCCAGTAGTTCACATACAAATCAGAAATACAGCTTGTATACAGTCACTCTCGCAGTATAAGATTTTTTTATTGCCCTCTCTCATTTCCCCTCCACTTGGTAGAAAAAAAATAGAACAATTTCATACAATCTCAAGTAATATGGGGTACTGTTTCATTTTGTGACTTCTGCAGCAGAAACTTTACTTTAAAATGTTGCCAGTCTCTAAAGCACCACTTCTATTACTACTTTTTTTTTTTTTTTAAATCACAGAGATCTCACCAGTTCAGTTTAGTATATGAGTGTACAAACATCTAATCTGACTCAGCTGGAGGAAAAGGGAACAAGAAGCCATATGCATGAACATGTGAGAACTATTCTGGTCACCAAATAAATCACAGTCTTTATGCAAATGTTGCCAGTGTCTAAAGCACCACTTCTATTACTACTTTTTTTTTTTTTTTAAATCACAGAGATCTCACCAGTTCAGTTTAGTATATGAGTGTACAAACATCTAATCTGACTCAGCTGGAGGAAAAGGGAACAAGAAGCCATATGCATGAACATGTGAGAACTATTCTGGTCACCAAATAAATCACAGTCTTTATGCTTTATTTAGTTGCTACGTCACCAGTTAAAGGGAGATGTCAATCTGAAAGCCAGTGCCACTCTGAACTAAAGCAAGTTAGATGACCCATCTAATTTTTAGCCCTCATTTAAGTTTCAGGTGACATTTTTGATTTCATTGAAACTTAGAAAAGTTGTGATGGAAGGTGTCTTTATCTTGTATTTCTTGCTTACTTTCCATACCTCCATTGTCTTCCATGACTGAATTTATTATCTTGATTTCTCATTTCAGAACCAGAGGTATCCTGGACTTTCTCTGGTTTTCATAAACCACCAAGCTAGTATTGTACCATGAGACTTTAGCGGAGTAAGCTTACACACTCCTTTCCCACTATCCCACTATCCATGAGCCCTAAACAGTTTCTTCTTTCATTTGATATGAGGGGGAAAAGCAATCTTGGAACAAAAATAGCGCTGATATTTTAAAATGTTTAAGCTGTTCAGGGTTCAATCTTCATGAAGTTAAGGAATGCATATTTGAACTAACCATCAACTTCTATAACAATTTCATTTAAGTTGATAGAAATATTTTGATTTTGACCACATCAGAAGTGTAGAATTTGAGTACTCGCAGTATATAGAAGCAGCTACACTCCAGAGATTATTCCCCAAATTACCACTTACTGAGTCTCTTATAAAAGGAACTGAACACAGTAATAGATAACAGAAACTAATTTCTATACTGCTAAAAGTTACTTTTATCCCCACAATACAGACATGTGTGAAACTGCATCTTCACTTACTAAAAAGCCACAACACCTAAACTAGATTTTGCTCCTCACACCCAGCACACACACATAGCTGAGAGCTGATAACTTTGCTTTCTAGCCTCAGTAATACCTGGCATGTGGCATTAAGTCATCTATTCTTTCTGCTGTAGCCTTCCCTTAAAATCAGTGTTTCATCTATCTCAAAAGTGTCAGGCAAGTTTTCCAGTTAGTGCCTGCAACGTGATTCAATGAAAGTCATTGCACTACAAAATAAATAATAATAATAAATAAATAAATAAATAAATAACCCTGAACATCACAAATGAAAAGATTTGAAGGAATACCCGAAATCCACTTACTGTAGAGAGTCCAAATACCCTGATTTTCTTGTCTTTGCTATTATGCTCAATTTTCCCTCCTCCAAGGCACTTGCACTCAAATCCCAGCTTTTCCATTTCGGGATTCACCTTCTCAAATATGTGATCTGCAAGGTGGGGAATAGCCAGAGCTGTTACAACACAGGCCAAGTATCAAACACCCCAGGACTCTTGGGTTACGCTACTCCCTTTCACTCCCTCATGAGCTGAAGGGAGCTTTCCAGAGGCACACAACGTGTGGCACCTATAATTAAGGATAATATTTAATATAATAAGGCTAATATACAATATAAGGGTGGGGAGGCAGCTGCCAGACATGGGCTGTTCTGCTCTCCGTGCACACACGACACGACAGGACACAACGCGGGCCTTCAGGCCGCCCATAGCGGCACGGTGTCGCCCAGGCCCGGCGCGGCAGGGCTGGGCTCGGTCAGGGGCTGGACTCAGGCCTTCCCTACTCCTCCTCCTCCTCCCCGTCCTCTTCCTCCTCCTACTACTACTAATACTACCCCCGCCCCACCGGGCACCCACTGTGGAACTCGGCGGCCTTGGTGCCGCGGACGATGTCCCGCCGCTCCTCGCCGCCCGGGCGCTGCAGGCGCACCCGGATGTA